GTGAGGATGATGGCTGGTTTTTAGCAAGTTGGGATGGGGGCTAGAGTAGTCAATTGATTCATAAGATGAAGCATTAGGTTCAATAACATAAAAATGTATTAAAGCACTGGACTTTGGTTTTCAAAGTCAGATCCAATCGACTGTTAATAATTTTAGTTACCAGAAGATCAAACTATAGACCTCAGTGTAATATCAGAGCACCAATGAATCTTTAATTTATAAATTGTAGAAAGTTCAAATCTATAACAACCAGCAAACTGGTTGTCCAGTAATAGTAATAGTAGCATATTTCAATTTGTTTCAATATTGCCACATGATCAAACAAATTTTCACTATTGTACTTTAATGACAGCATTTTGCTTATTGAAGCAATTCTTATATTTTCATAAAGAAATGTGTCTTCAAGTACCGTATGCTGCAAATAAGTTAAAGATCTCCCATTTTCAACTTAGACTGTCTCTTAAAATCACTTGTTTAGGAATACGAAACATAAACAGTTTTTATGCCCCCACAGAGTGGGAGCATATAGCGTTGCACTTGTCCGTCCGAGTGTCCGTCCGTACGTACGTCCGTCCGTCCGTCTGTACATCCCGAAATCTTGTGAACGCAACTCCTCTTAAACCGGATGGCAGATTTTGCTTAAACTTCCAGGGATGAACAACCTTAATGTGTAGATGGTAGTAAAGGGAGGAATTTTTGCTGCGACCAAATTTAACAGAATTATGGCCCTTTGTTGATTTTTTCACTATATACTATGTAGAAATTTTGTGAACGCAACTCCTCTTAAACCGGATGGCAGATTTTGCTTAAACTTCCAGGGATGCACAACCTTAATGTGTAGATGGTAGTAAAGGAAGGAATTTTTGCTGCGACCAAATTTAACAGAATTATGGCCCTTTGTTGATTTTTTCACTATATACTATGTAGAAATTTTGTGAACGCAACTCCTCTTAAACAAGAGGGCAGATTTTGCTTAAACTTCCAGGGATGAACAACCTTAATGTGTAGATGGTAGTAAAGGAAGGAATTTTTGCTGCGACCAAATTTAACAGAATTATGGCCCTTTGTTGATTTTTTCACTATATACTATGTAGAAATTTTGTGAACGCAACTCCTCTTAAACCGGAGGGCAGATTTTGCTTTGACTTCCAGGGATGAACAACCTTAATGTGTAGATGGTAGTAAAGGAAGGAATTTTTGCTGCGACCAAATTTAACAGAATTATGGCCCTTTGTTGATTTTTAGTTTTCAACTTGTGGCACATTGTAGTCCATAAAATATATGACCTAGAGTCATAAGATTGACAGAACAGTGGTGTGTGGGGGCATCCGTGTCCTATGGACACATTTCTAGTTTAATTAATGAAAACCTTGAAAATATATTTATGATGTACATGTATATATTTATTTATTTATTAAATTTATGTAACCATATTTGAGGTTATTTATGATAGAAGGCCATTGTATAGGAATAATTAGTTTTGGATTAAATGTGTTTTAAAGGGTATTGATTCTATAAGGTTAATAGGTAATAAACAAATACAAAACTTGTAAAGGATATTGAAAATTAAAACTTTGTCAAAAATCAATGCAAATTTTGTTTGAAGGCTATTGTTTTAAAGGTGTAAATCAATGTGTATATTACAGTGTTTTAATTATTATATGTTAACCTTTACAAACCATATTTCCCATTGTAAACGCACCCACCTATGTTCACAAGTACTTTGATATATAATATATAAACTTGAGTGCAATTTCAATTGATTGTGATATTAAAACTAGAGCAATATATATTTATTTACATGTTGGACATAGTTGGTTTAACGTCACCAGAGATCATGGTATGGGAGGGGGATACTTATCCAACATCAAGGTTGAGGCATTATACTTTAAACCCCTTTAGATGGTCTCTATGAAATCTTCATGAAGAACTCATATGACATGAAAGAGTAGTGAAAATTCATATATTCAAAATATTTGCAAGCTTTAACTGTAATTGAAGAAACAGTACACTTACTCTCTGTGAAAATATTAATCATAAAAAGTTTTGAACGTTTTGCACCAAAGAAACAATTGTTCAAGATATACACTTGAGTTTTATTTATTTGTATTTAGGTACATTTGTGGTGTATTGAACTCTTGCAAGATTTCATAGAAATAATTGCTTGATCTCTGCCTAATTTCAGCAAGACGAATATCTGATATGAGTTCTGATATAAGTTATAAACAGTTTATTGAGTTGTTGTACCACTTCACAGGGAGAAAAAAATCAAAATCTGGAATGCTTACTTATCAGTGGATGATCTTGGCAAAAAGTTTGAAACTAAAACAAAATTGGAACATTTATGAATCTTAGGAAATCATTTCAGTACAAGTTGGAAGTTGAAATGATGCAGATTTTGCCACTGAATATAGGCTCATTTTGATTCTAGATTCAAACAGGTTTGTTTGTTTCTGGATATTCGTTGATGTTTATGTTTCATTATTAGATCGTTTCTTGATTTAAGAGGTATATTGCTGTACAGAGGTGAATCTTATTTGATACAACAATATTAAGTGATAGGTGCATGTACAGAAATCATTCCCTATAAGCCCACCAATCAATAGAATACTTTAAGGGAAATTGTTTTATTCTCTTAACTTAACCCTTTCCCCCATGAGCATATCGTGAAAAATGGCCATTTTAACTGAAAAGCCTCCTCTTACAAGTTCAAACTGCTATGAAACTATGAAAAATGCTTCAATACTAATCAAACTTGGCACAAATGTTGACTGGACCATTGCCTTTGTAACGACATGCTCAGTCTTTAATTTCCTGTTACCATGGCAACGAGGGGACATCTCAAAATTGCCAAAAATCACTATTTTGCCTCGATTTTTATGCTCCCCGAAAAAATTTCGGGGGAGCATATAGTCGCCGCCTTGTCCGTCCGTCCGTCCGTCCGTCTTTCCGTCCGTCCGTCCGTCCGTCCGTCCGTCCCCTTTTCTTGTCCGGGACATAACTTTGAAACAACAAGAGGTATCAACATGAAACTTTGTAGGTAGATAGATCTCATTGAGTAGGTGTGCAGTGCACAAGAACCGTAACTCTGCCTTGCCTAATTTTTGAATTATTCCCCTTTGTTTATTTTTACACTTTGAACTTTGTCCGGGACATAACTCTAAAAGTATAAGAGGTATCAACATGAAACTTTGTAGGTAGATAGATCTCATTGAGTAGGTGTGCAGTGCACAAGAACCGTAACTCTGCCTTGCCTAATTTTTGAATTATCCCCCTTTGTTTATTTTACACTTTGAACTTTGTCCGGGACATAACTCTAAAAGTATAAGAGGTATCAACATGAAACTTTGTAGGTAGATAGATCTCATTGAGTAGGTGTGCAGTGCACAAGAACCGTAACTCTGCCTTGCCTAATTTTTGAATTACCCCCCTTTGTTTATTTTACACTTTGAAATTTGTCCGGGACATAACTCTAAAAGTATAAGAGGTATCAACATGAAACTTTGTAGGTAGATAGATCTCATTGAGTAGAAGTGCAGTGCACAAGAACCGTAACTCTGCCTTGCCTAATTTTTGAATTATCCCCTTTGTTTATTTTACACTTTGAACTTTGTCCGCGGACATAACTCTAAAAGTATAAGAGGTATCAACATGAAACTTTGTAGGTAGATAGATCTCATTGAGTAGGTGTGCAGTGCACAAGAACCGTAACTCTGCCTTGCCTAATTTTTGAATTACCCCCCTTTGTTTATTTTACACTTTGAAATTTGTCCGGGACATAACTCTAAAAGTATAAGAGGTATCAACATGAAACTTTGTAGGTAGATAGATCTCATTGAGTAGGTGTGCAGTGCACAAGAACCGTAACTCTGCCTTGCCTAATTTTTGAATTATTCCCCTTTGTTTATTTTACACTTTGAACTTTGTCCGGGACATAACTCTAAAAGTATAAGAGGTATCAACATGAAACTTTGTAGGTAGATAGATCTCATTGAGTAGAAGTGCAGTGCACAAGAACCGTAACTCTGCCTTGCCTAATTTTTGAATTATCCCCCTTTGTTTATTTTACACTTTGAACTTTGTCCGGGACATATTTCTAAAAGTATAAGAGATATCAACATGAAACTTTGTAGGTAGATAGATCTCATTGAGTAAGTTTGCAGTGCACAAGAACTGTAACACTGTCTTGCCTACTTTTGGAGTTATTGCCCTTTGTTCATTTTGACACTTTGAACTTTGTCTGGGACATTACTCTAAAATTATAAGAGATATCAACATGAAACTTTGTAGATAGATAGGTCTCATTGGGTGGAAGTGCAGTGCTTAAGAATCATTACTCTGCCTTGCCTTATTTTGAAGTAATTGCCCTTTGTTTATTTTTACTTTTTGACTTTTGTCCTGGACATTACTTTAAAACTATTAGAGATATCAACATGAAACTTTGTAGGTAGCTAGATATAATTGGATAGAACTGCAACGCTTCAAGAACCTAAACAAAGCCTGGTCTAATTTTGGAGTTATTGCCCTTTGTTCATTTTTTTTATACTTTCCTGTGTCCAGAACCTTCTCGGGGAGCATCACCCGGTTCAACCGGTTCTTGTTTCCATCAAAATTTATTTCAAAGTGCTGCAACTTCTCAATGGATTGAGATAGAGTCAAAGGCTTTTCAGCGTTGGTTACACGTTACTTTATGATCAACCTGGGGTCATTTTAAGCCTCTCACAAGTCCAAAATTTTCTTGGCGATGAGGGGGACTCCGCCCCCCATCAAACCCCCCAAACAGAAGGGGGCACATCCCCCTTCTGGCAACCCCCTGATGTATTATTTTGATGGGGGACGGCGCAGAAAAAATGGTCACTTTTTTTAACAACATTTCTCAAACGAAAAACAGTGTTTGGGGTCTAAATAGGACATTTTTTCACTGTTTGAGGCCTCAAAAAGGGGGGGGGGCAAAAAGCCGTCGAAACACGCTTATATAAGGGAAAAGGTTAAACTAAGACTTTTAACCAACAACCTGTTATGTCTGATTCATGAATTTCAGATTTGTCAGAAAACAACAAAAACAACAAAACAAAAACAATTTGTTCTCAGAGTCTAGTTTTAGATCAAATAAAAATAGGTACTTACAATATCATACTAAATAAGTTTATTATATCATACTAAATAAGTTTATTGGTTGGCTGGCAATTATGTGCACTGTTTATAGGTGAAGTACGGTACCAACATTTTTTGCCTATTGACGAACCATGAGCACATGTATCAGTAGATTGTATTCAAGTGTAATCATGGGTGATCATTGATTACTGAGTCCACTATACCTCTCTAATACTGTTCAAAATTCACAGAGAAAATTTGATATCTTCATACCTTACAGCCTTAGTTACCAAATATTCAATATTGGTGACTTTCTTTTTTTCGTTTGGAACAACTCTGATTTTTTGGCCAACCTTCATTTGCAATTAAAAATAAAACAAAAAAACAAATCTGTGAGATAAAGCAAACAATCTGATTTTAAGGATGGACCTGTATTGCAGTTCAGATTTTAGTGGGGAGAAAATGATGTCTTGAAAGAAATTCTTCTTCTATATAGCATGGACTTGTTGATGAAAAAATAAACAAAGTGAATTTCTGCCTAGCAGTAGTAGAATAGCATCCAGGTGTATTACTTATTCTTGATGGAGTGAATAGAATTGAAAGAAATACGGCACTTTGAAGACAGATAAGGATGAATTTTTCTTACAGATAGAATTTTAATGAGTGTTGATAAATTTGTTCCATGATGCTGGATCTCTGATAACATATGTAGGAATACAGATAGATTTTACATGTCAACAAAGTTTTATACATGTATCATTTCGATGAACATTTTGATTTCATTATATTAAGACTTATAAATTGGAAGATATAATTTATTGGATGTATTGATATGGATGTTAGCAAATAATTTGTGACAATACGTTTTTGAAGTTCAGTCAATGCATAATACCCACTGAAAGAGATATTGGTTTCTACCCTGAAATCAAAATGATTATATAGAGAGAATTATGGTAGATTTTATGGAATAGAATGTGGATTAATTTGCTCTCGATGGATTAAAGGATTAGGACTGTTTTTATTGACATATTTCATTTATTGTTGCATGTGTTTTTAGAATAACCTCGGATTTTGAGGACATTTCCTTCTTTTTGCTGTGAAGAAATCAAAATTGAATGTCATTGAAAAGTTTTATTGTGTGAATTGTTTATGTATATTGACAGCTACATCCGTACTGGTAATAGATTATTGGAAAAGAATTTTTATGTCAGACCAGACACACTAAAGTCTTTACTGTATTGCTAAGTATTAAAAGGATTATTTTGTCGTTAAAAAGGACTTTTTGTTGTGACAATTAAAACAAATATAGGGTTGGATAAAACGATAAATGGACTTAAATATTGGAGTATTCAGAAGTGTATAGGTAAAATAAACTTGCGGGTGACGAGTTATTGTATATGGAGTAGAAGGATTTAGAAGTATATATTGATAGAATAACTTCAAAAAAGTATAATGCCTGTACAATAGCTCAATATACAAATATAAAATTATACAAAGGGTTGCAACATGTTGATAAGAGTAGATCTCTTTATACGCTGACAATAACTTTACAAAAACTTTATTGCATGTATTGAAAGCAGATATCAGGGAGTCAGTTTTAAGTCATAGAAACTATTCACTGCTACTAGAAGTGGAAGAAACTATTCCTTACTACTGTATAAAAGTAAGGAGTAATTCTTGGAATGTATTAGTATTATTTATCTAAGGAAGTACTGTTGACAGCAAGAAAAAAATAAAGAAAATGTCGTATCCATATAATGATTTACCGAAAGGATTTAACATGGGCTGGGAGAGTGGGCCTGTGGTTGGATCCTTAGATAACATTGGCCACAAGGCTGGTGGTGGGAATAAACTTATCCATACTGAACGCCTTCACTGGGAAAAGAAGTCAAAAATTGGGTCTCTGGACAAGAGGCACATGGAACTAGCACGTCCTAAATCTTTGCATGGCAACAAACCTGGAGACAATATTGTACGTTTACTTCCATACAGAGATGAGTTTTATAAAAAGTTTAAAAATTTGAATTATGATGAGAGAGGTCATCCTTACATACGTGTGGAAAAAGAGAAATTCAATGGTCATGCAAAAGTTGGCTCTCTGGATAATAAAAACCATCAGCCAGGTGGTGGGAATTTTAAGATTGAGAACAGAAAACCTGAGTGGCTGGCTCAACCAAAAGTGGGTTCATTAGAATATGCCCATCATAAACCTCAAGGTGGCAATAGACCTATCATAGATGAAAAACCTCAGTGGAATGCAACACCAAAAGTGGGATCATTAGACAATAAGGATTACAAGCCTGGTGGTGGTGGTGTTCATATTCCAACACAGCGGTTACACTGGGAAACACAGGCAAAAATTGGATCATTAGACAATAAAAATCATACACCACGTCAGCCAACTAAGAAGATCATTGATAACCCAGTGAATTTTAATGTACCAGCTAAAATTGGATCTCTTGAAAATAAAGATCATAGACCAAGTGGCGGTAATGTTCCAATAGTAGATACAAAATTACACTGGAATGCTCGCCCAAAGATTGGATCATTAGATAATAAAGATCATCAGCCAGCTGGAGGTCAGGTGAAAATTTCTACTATTCCAACAATTTGGGAGGCCAATCCAAAAGTAGGATCCCTTATTAATGCCAACCATCGACCAGGAGGTGGCAATGTTGAGATTGAAAATAAACCAAGACGATACCATGCAGAAGCAAAAGTAGGTTCACTGGATTATGCTACTCATCAAGCAGGTGGCGGAAATGTTCCAATATTTAGCGATCAACCAAAGTGGAAAGCTGATGCCAAAGTGGGTTCCTTAGATAATGCTCATCATCGACCAGGTGGTGGACAGAAGTCAATATCATCCAGTCCTATTCCATCTTACAGAAAAACAGTTTCGCCAAAAGTGGGATCTTTAGAAAATGCTCATTATAAACCAGGACATTTCAATAAACCTTTTAAATTGACGTATGGTAAAGATGAAACCATGTATGATCCAAGTATATTTGGGCGGTTTTCTAGATCATTGAGTCGAGCATATTCAAGAAATTCAGCTCAGACAGTACCTTGATACTTCACCATGATAGTTCATGTAAGTAAGATGATCAAAATTTTAACATACAAATTTAACTTATTGAAAAATTGATTTGAAAAGATTGCAATTTTCCAGTTACCTCCCTTTTTAAATTAGATAAAATTTGATTACATGAGTTAATGATTTATACTCTGTATGGCTTCTAGAATGATCTTCCTCTTTCTTTTTGCATAACATCAATATTATTGTCCTTAAAAGTTTCAAACTTTTCAACATGGAAATTTCTAATACATGTATATATATGATTTGATTGAAATTTAAATTTATGAAAATATCACAAGCAGTAGAACATTATTAGAAGAATAAAATAGATATGATATTAGAACTTTTATATTGATTCAGATACACAAAATCTTGAAGACCAAATTTTCATTTCTATAAGCTAATTGTCTTTTATTCATTTTAGAAATATGATATAGGTATTAGACATCAACACAGCAAAAGCTAACAGTAAACTAAATCCACTTTCATTAGAATAAAAGTATTCTTTGAAGCAAATTGATTTTCATTTATTTATTCTGTAATTGTTTTTTTTTTACCAAGTACCAAGGTTATTAATGTTGACATTTGAGACCAGTTTAAAACTGTGGTGTACCATTATTAAAGTTGAATTTGTTTCTGACCAATCATTTTAAAGGTAACAAGATAGGTAACATAGGCAAGTGTAGTACCTTATGTAACCTGATTCTTAGAATGTGTCTTGTTAGACACACCAATTAAATGAGAAAGTTCATATTTTACAAGTGTATGTATGACTATCACAGACCCTATCTTTGCCATGACCTGTCACAGACACTATCTTTGCTGTGACCTGCACAACACTATCTTTGCTATGACCTGTCACAGACACTATCTTTGCCATGACCTGTCATGGACACTATCTTTGCTGTGACCTATCACAGACGCTATATATCTTTGCTGTGACCTGTCACAGATGCTATCTTTGCTGTGACCTATCACAGACACTATCTTTGCTGTGACCTATCACAGACACTATCTTTGCTGTGACCTATCACAGACGCTATCTTTGCTGTGACCTGTCACAGATGCTGTCTTTGCCATGACCTGTACCAGACGCTATCTTTGCTGTGACCTGTCACTGACACTTTCTTTGCCATGACCTGTACCAGAAGCTATCTTTGCTGTGACCTATCACAGATGCTACCTTTGCCGTGACCTGTCACAAACTCTATCTTTGCTGTGACCTGTCACAGATGCTACCTTTGCCGTGACCTGTCACAAACTCTATCTTTGCTGTGTCCAGTCACAGATGCTATCTTTGCTGTGACCTGTCACGGATCCTATCTTCGCTTTGACCAGTCACAGACGCTATCTTTGCCATGACCTGATCATGGATCCTATCTGCTGTGACCTGTCACAGACGCTATCTTTGACATGACCTGTCACAGATCCTACCTTTGCTGTGACCAGTCACAGAGGCTACCTTTGCCATGACTGGTCACGGACCCTATCTTTGATGTGACCTATCTTGGACCCTACCTTTGCTGTTACCTGTCACAGACCCTATCTTTGCTGTTACCTGTCACTGTGTGGTCAATCAGTGTGGCAGTTTGAGGTTCTCCTTTTATTTGGTTTTGACCGGATAAAATGCTACCTAATTCTACTTTTAACTAGACAAAAAAGGGCATCTATTGTCTTTCTGTAGCAGATCTAAGTGATCACATTCAATAAATGAAATATATTGAGTAAATCAGCTCTTCTAGCTTTAGGTTCAAAATGTTTACATGTAAATGTTTATTTTTCAGGTATAAAAGTTTGCACTTTTACATGTAGTAACCAATAATTATATATCAACTGCATAAATGCTATCATTTGTATTCAAAAAGCTTGAAATGGTTCATTCATATTCTAGTCAATGGACTATATTGGAATATGAATCAATCAAGAAAGAGAGGGAGAGAGAGAGTACTTTGAAAGTTGTTTATTGAAATGTTATTGATCTCTTAATACCTTTAACTTTTTATATAGGGTACCCTCCCACTGTACAGGTTATAATTGAGCAAAGACATGTAAACATAAGTTGCCTTATCTAATGCAACAACTCATAATATGAAATTATAGATGTTTAAAATTGTATTTTATTTTGTTTGCAAAATTTAAACATAGGTCTGTATTTATATTAATTATATGACAAGGCCACATACTTTTTAAAGCATTTTATCGAAAGATATTGCCAATATCCTAGTTATTAATTGCTACAAGCTATTAATTATTTCTAAAATTAAGGTTGTAAACTGTGTTAACCCTTAACCTCACTGTTTTCACTGAAAATCCTCCTGTTATAAGTTCAAACTGCTATAAAACTATGAAAAAAGCTTCAATACTGATAAAACATGGCACAAATGTTGACTGGACCATAGCCTCTGTAACAGCATGCTCAATCCTAAATTTTCTGTTACCTTGGCAAAGGGGGGGGGGCCTTCTCAAAATTGCCAAAAATCACTATTTTGCATTGTTTATTTCCATCAAAACTGATTTCAAAGTGCTGCAACTTCTCAATGGATTGAGATAGGCAACCTGCGGCCATTTTTAGCCTGTCACATGTTCAAAATTTTCTTGGCATGAAAAAAACATGTACGGGTGGGGGTCGAAAAGCCATCAAAACATGTCTATATGAGGTAAAGGGTTAAATGCACAATATGTGCATTGGAGTAAAATGTAACAGCTGTATTATTTCTTAATTCCTAAATGTTAGGGAGGAAACTGAACAGCTTTCAACAGTCTTCATTTATATGTATCTAGTTAATCATAGTCACTTGAGATATAGAAAGTTAAATTAGCCATTAACAGGTTTATGTCAGGATAGCTCCTTGGCTTTCAATTTACTTTTTATTTCAACTCCATTTTAGCTTAATTTAATAAAATTACTGAAACGTATTTTCAAAAATGTTTAGTTGCTTTTTTTCCCAAGATTAAGATGTTGTTTATGATTATCAGAACAGACAGGTTGCTATGTTAAAAACAGGTGCACCATTTTGCAAGACTCAATGCTATGTTAACAGATAGCAATTTTGGTAACTGGTAGGCTCCTTATCGTAAATTCTGTCTTATCAAAGTTCATTTTAAAAGTTTCATACCTGTATCATTTGTGATTATAGAAAGTTATGGATCAGCTATAGAGAACATCATATGCTTTTGTCAGAAGCAGGAAAATATACATAATTTTACACTGAAATATTTAGATAACAAACAAGTAACATAGAAATAATATAGAAGAGTTGTTTCCCTTTGTTTTCTTACCTTCATTTGTTTCTTTCTACTTTAGTTCATATTGCATGGAAAGAAGAATCAAATTTTCCTGTAATTCATAGACAGTTCAACATAATTATCTTTTAACATGAAGGAAGATATCTTGGTGAATCTTTTTTGAGCAACATTAACCTCAGTTATTCACATTTGACTTGAAAGAAATATAACTGATAAAAACCAAACAAATGAAACAATTTAGTGAAATTATAGACAGTGTATATAATGAATTATGGAATTGTGCCGGATAATATCTGTTCAGAATAATGTTTTAATTTAAAGACGCATGGTAAAAAGATTAACCAGGACATGTATATTCCACATACAGAGTGGGCACACAGTAAATAAATGGCATTTAAGGTTTAATTAATCAAAATATATGCAAACAATGGCCCTTTGTATAAAATCACTGTCTATAATTGTTAATGAAAGGAAAAACTAGCTGGGTGAATGCCATTTAAAGGAAACAATAGATTCCTTTTATTGAAGTTCTTCTTCACAAAACATTTTACCAATTTAAATGTTATGAATCCTTGTCATTTAAAGCCATATATTGGTAAAATTGATTTATTTTTTATTGAAGGTTTTGTCATTTATATAAGTAGCATTCCTTTTTGTGGTATTAATTTGGGCTATATGATATATCTTTTCACTTCAGTAACTTCCTTTACAACACTTAGTTACCAGTGACAAATGGCATAATTATTATAAACTTTCATTTCAACTCTTATAAGATTCATATAACAAAACCATGTTTTATAGTATTGACTCTTTGTTTATAATGGATACTTATAATATTAATCAGAGTCCATCAAGTTAAAATCTCACTTGAAATTATTATGGCTTGAAAAAGATTTTTGGACTGGCAGAAAAGAAGTTTGATTTATAATTTATTTGGACTATATAGATATTGACTTTAAATGAAAGCTTGACATTATGATTGACGTTTTACATAGTGACAATGATGAGTATGTAAGACATCTTCACATCAAATGACATCAAATATGAATCATGAATTTGTGCATTTCTTCATTATGAAACAGTGGACGTCTTATACTTGAGTCAAAGGTGGTGAATTTTAATTATGGCAGACTGGTTGTATGTGCCGCCCATCGATATGGGCTGGGATGCAGAGGCTAAAGTTGGAACTCTGGGAAATATAAACTACATTCCAGGTGGTGGGAACAAAGTTATAGAAACTCAGCCTGTAAGATGGAAAGGGGAGGCAAAGGTAAATTCAATTGATGTAGAGCATATGAGAAAAGTACAAAGATATACCCCGGCACTTGAAGATCTGACTAAAAAGATTAAATTACCACCAAATATTCCAACAGAGAACTTAAAAAATGTTGAATATACTGAGAAGGGTGCATACATGATAGTCAATCAAGAAAAAATACAAGCAGAGGCCAAAGTAAAGTCTTTGGAAAACAAGGACTATCATCCCCCAGAACCAAAGGTGAAAATTGTAGATGAGAAACCGCATTGGCAGAAGAAATCCAAAGTTGAGACATTCAAAAATATTGACTACACGCCACGTCAGCATGAAATAAAAATCCATACTGAAAAACTGAATTGGAAAGCAAAACCTGCTGTTAATTCATTAGAGAATGTTAAATTCAAACCTCAAGGTGGAGGAGTTCAAGTTTTTACCCAGAAACTTAAGTGGCATGATAAACCAAAAATTAATACACGTGAAAATATACGTTACTCTCCACCCCCTAGCACTCGTAAAATCATAAATAGTCCACTGAAAATAAAAGCTCAGCCCAAAATCGATGATGATAACCATATGTACCAACCTAGAGGTGGTAATGTTGAGATAATTAATGAACCAGTGCATTGGAGAGCATATCCAAAAGTTGATAATGACAATCTGAGGCATTATCCTGGTGGTGGAAATGTTCATATACCTAAACATAACCTCAGATGGGATGCTAAACCGGTAGTTAATAGTTTTGAAAACAAGATGTATACTCCCAGTGGTGGCGATGTACATATTGTGAATGAAATTCCACGATGGCGTGCTCTGCCTAAAATACAATCATTAACAAATGTGGACTATAGACCACGTGGTGGAGATGTTAGGATCCATAAAAACCATCTTCATTGGTCAAAGATTCCAAAGGTGAATTCCCTTGAAAATGTTGGTTGGCAGCCAAAACCAAGTCATGTAACTATAGCAAAAAACAACGTGAATTTTAAAGACGGTATATTACCAAAAGTAGATTCACTTACAAATGCTCACCATAAGCCTGCAAATATTGGCAAGAAACGGAAGATTCAATACTCAAAATATGAAACCAAGTATACAGAACAGAAAGGATATCTAAGTATGGCTGAGGATTTAAGATATAGTGCTAGTTCCACTGGGAGCTCATTTAGGTCTCCACAGACTGTACCATGAGAGATGTAAGTCAGCCCTTCATTCTTACAACCTTTGGTCATTTAATGTCTGAGACAAAAACAAACAACTGAAATTTTTAAGGGTTATACAATCTCTTAAGAGTGAAACATTCACACATGTCTGTAAAGAAAACTATTGAGATTTGTGAAAAATGATTTTGTGATGACCTGCAGTAAAGGCAGGTCATGCTGTCTGTTTTATGGCCTGTTTTTGAAGGTGTGGATCAATTGTTGGGGATGGTCTATTGAGCTTAAGCACATGTTGGACCTGAAATAATTCTTTCATTTACAGTTTTGCTTTGTTACAATTTAAAATGCAGTTTATGTAATACTTTCATATCTGAGTTTGCTTTCCCACAAACTTGTCTATCTTTTACCTTTTATTCCTTATATATTTTACTGTCTAGCTGATACTCTCTTTGTTGGGATTTGTTGCTAGGATGTCTCTGGCATAACAAGTTCTTTACAGCTTGATTCACCTGTCAGTATCTGGTGTACAAACTTTAATTTTGGTGATCTTTTTTTAAATGTAAAACTTTATTAGAGTCTTCACAAAGACATTCTTTACGTGTTTCCCTTGACTTTAACCTAATAGACTAATAATTATGTTTACAAATATTGTTCTGCTCCTTTTGCTTCACTTCAATGTTTTGCTGTTGGTGCTTTGATGTTGCAGAGGAAATGGTTTTATGAAATCACCATGTAGTGTTCTAGCTGCAGTTTCACTGTAAAGCTTCCATAATTAGACAGAATATCATGTTGTAAGAGTGATACAAACAAGGGTTTACTTGCATCTCAATGACTCTCTTCACAATGTTTTACTTTCTCTTAATTGTGTTTTATTATAACTTACAGTGTCACAGCAGTATAATAGAATCTATCATTGGGTTTGATAGAGGATAGGGAAATCCCAACTTGAGGGTGATCGGTTCCATCGAGAACGAGCCTTGGCTCCACAGACTGTACCATTATAACACAATAAAAACATTAATTTTTTTGACATTAAAAGCGTTTATTAATATCCTGATTTTTTCACAAATTGTTTCTTACTATTTTAAAACGTTGTGCCTTTTTTGATGTCAGGATGTTATGGAAAAATCTTTACGGACCCCTTTAGTAGTACAACTAGGATCTTTATTTAAGTGTGAAATTTTAAATTAATCTTACTTTTGATTCCTTGACAATTTAATAGATTAGTTCACAAATTTTTAATGCATTTTGACCTTTTTGCGTTTCTTTTTGCTTAAAATGGTTATGAATCACGTATTTTTAGCTGCAGTTTCACTGTAAGTTCATATGACGAATATCATGTTGAGATAACAACATTTTTGTCCAAACTCCTCATTTTTACTTTCTTTAAATTGTTTTTATTTTTTAAGTGAGAAATTATAATCTAACTTAATTATTCCTGTATATAAGTATTTATAACTGGCAACAAAATTATGCCTCCTTTTTGTACTATCTTCTTTGAAACATGGAATACTTACAATGACCATCACTTTTACTTTGTTTGCACATGTGCATTATTTTGTCTTTACAAAATTATGTCTCTTTTTCAGTTTAGAAATTTTATAAATATAGGCAACTAGTATAGGTGCAATACTATTAGTGATAATAGCTTTTTACAGAATTTAAGTTTGATATATCTGTTGATATGCAGATTTTATATACTTTACTAAACATTACTGGGATGGTTTGCTTTCCGTCTTCTTACATTGTAAGACAGAAATAGGTATAATTTTCAGAAACTTGTCATGTATAATATAATCATAGAATATGTCTAACCATTCCAGTTTAAACCTGATTTGGTTAAGTTATAAAATACTTCAAGCATAATAATTTAAACAAAGGTGGTGTCATGTTGGCTAGTGTTACTTTCCCCATGTCAACATTCTTTGAATGAAGAGGTCGAGGTAATACTTATAATACTTATTGTCAGATCAAGTAAACACATGTTTGGTAGTTTACATAAATGGTATTTAAACTTTAAATATTGGCTCATTGTTCATAATGAGTGCATTTATCTATATTAGACAAAATGAATGATTAAGCATATTGTTTGTATTTGTAGGCAGACTTGATAGTAACTGAGAGATTGTATTTATTATTGGCCGTCTTGTCACTCGTGAATCTTTGATGAAGTACATGATATAGTTTTCCGTACATTGTATAAGGAAGAGATATCCCAGATTTATTGAGTGTATATGTCATTTTAAATTGACAGCTGATTATTGTGATCAAAAGACATTCTTGTGTAACATATTAAGTCATCAAATATACCCATGGTTTTGTCTTATATTTTACTATTTAAATATAGATCTATTTAAACCTGTCAATATGTGTGCCTCTAAACTGCACATGAAGTCCTGTGAACTGTTTTAAAATTCAAGTTAAAAAAGACCTAAGTAATAATTTTAAGTAACTATTATTCTTAAGTTGTATAATCTTATTTGTTAATTAAAATGACATATACACTCAATAAATCTGGGATATCTCTTCCCATAAACCTTGAATGGACTGTTGTCAAAGAAAGGCAAACCATTAATGCAGATTTAGAAAACAAGAAAAAAATACAGCAGTTTATGTTGAAGAGAATATTGCTGTTAAAATATTGAAGTCATTTGTTGTATCTTTGTATTCAGATGTTTGTTTAAAGTAGGAGGTCTATTGAACATAAATTGCAGGAGATCAATCTTTAATCTTCTTTTCTTTAAGTATGAAGTTAAGTAATGATTATTTAATTGATTGGGTAAAAAACAAATACGTACCCTGTATATTTGATGTCAAGTTCAATGTTTTAGAAGCCCTCATTCACATTAAAACAGCAAAAAATAAACTTACGTAATGAAGTAGTGCATTATTGTACTTTTTATGTACAGTCATTTAGCTGTAGTTATGGTACTTTTATCTAGTCTGTATCCTTTTAAGATATAGCAAAAAATAATCTTGTTGGAAGGTTTTTTCTAATAGAAACAAAGTTTTGAATGTATTAGAAGGTACAAGTATATTGTGGCAAGATTTTGATAGTTTCAAACCTATATCAAGAAAGATCTGTTGTAAAAATGAAAGTAAAAAGTGTTTTATTTTCAAGAAAAGTTTTTATAGCCTTTTGTGTCAATTTATCTTTTTAAACTGTTTCTAACACAAACAATTATGGCATGATTGTTCCAAAGTTGTTTCTTACAGTAGAATTATTTAAGTTATCTGTGTTTTAAATTTTCATAAAGATATATTGACAAGTGCAAGATAAATGTTTTATCGTTATGTAATGAACAAATTCTAGTATACAGCTTGTTGTATAGAAGACAGAGACACTAGTTGAAACACACAAAATTTTAAACATTTTATACAAGACTGTATGGTTTACCTTTAACTATAAAAATGTTTTCATTATCTTAAGATTTCATAAGAATTTCACTATATGAGATGAGTGAAAGATGAAATTTTATTGTAAGTGTCTTACAGCAATATCTAGCTCACTGGCCTTGTTTCAGAACCACCTGATGATAGAACATATCCTTGATCATAATTTTTATCATAACTGGTGATATAATTCTTTGGTACTTAAGTTTAGCTTCTTTCACTTGAATATACATAGATAGAGAAAGATATAAGCATTAAACCTGCAGCATTTTGTCTGGAGATAAAATTGTGAATGAGAAAATTGCAAATCATAAAAAAAACTTGAAAGAGTAAGTTTGATATTTTTAGATTTGACTGAATAAACTAAATTTAGATGAACAGTAGACCAAACCTGAAGGTAGCTCTTACTGGCACTTGGCTTGGAGAAAAAGAAGGGTCATAACTCTTTCATTTGTTTAATTAGTTTGTGTTTGTGTAAGGATTGCTTAATTTACTTGCAGTTATAAAATAATGGGTTCATTGTTTTATTTAGAAAAAAAAAATGTTTGATTTTATCTAAATTATCTTAATACATTAGTATGGACTTGTTCATTTATAACTGTAATAATGCAAATACAGAGTTGTTTCCCTTTATAGTGTAATGAACAGTTAACTAAACATGTGACATCTGTATAAACAAGTTAATGCAACTGATCCAATTAAATGTAATTTTGGAATTTATATCATGAGTCAGCACATTTTCTGTGAGATTCATGAAAGCTTTTGCTGGGGTATTTGATAATTTTAGAATTACAAGAATTTAAGGCCAATGTAATGTAGCAGTTTGTTTTGATCAAGTCTTACAAGTGTAAACATGTTAATATGTGTGGTGGAGACAAACTAAATTTAATTGAAGATGAGAGTAGATGTTAATCAGAAAAGAGTGATAATATTTAGGACAGAGTTGTGTTGAACATTCAATATAAAAGTTTAAATGTTAAATGCTGCTCTTCTTTGAACTGGAGTATCTCTAAAATATAAAACAATTAAGAAATTTGGCCTAGAATCAATTAGAGTTGTATGAAATGATAAGACAGAGCTGTTTGTTGAAGATTACCTTGTGTAGTTAGATAAGACAACTAGTCACAATAAATATGATGTTAATGTTGTAACAGTAGCTTGCTGCTCTATCTATTTAATGTGAGGGGGGAAGTCATTCATCTTTCTAACTGTGGTATGATTTTTCAGTGGGGTTTTTTTAATTGTTGCTAAATCTATACTAAATTGATGATATATTTAGAGGTACAGAGAAATTTGAGTGCTTGAAAATTCAGTTGTCAGTTAAAATTTTCTAACCAGATTTCAACATTTTCCTGATGAAGGCTTGAATATTTATTTATAAAAACAGAACATTTTAATCCAGCTTTGTTTAGTATCACTGAAGCACCGTTATTACATTTCAACATTTTTCTTCATCAGAACATGTACTTAAAGTGAAGCGTTTTCAAGTTTTCTTTCTGACTTATTCTTATCTTACAGTATGTTTTATTTTATTTACAATATAATGAAAACTTTGAATTTGAATTGAAAATTAGTGCAGTTGACTTACAATTTTGAAAATTACCTTCTCAATGAAATAAGTTTCGCTTAAAGTTTGATTTCTTTGCTACAAAAGTATTTAAAAGGGTTCCTCAGAATCATGAAGGATAATCTTGATGAATTACATTTAGTTTATTTCAAGGTCTTTGAATGTTAATGGTTTTAACTCTGACAGAGACAGAAGTCTGTTGGAGTGTAAATGGTTTTGAACCATTACCCTGCTGTAACCAAAAGTAATTGGTCTAAAATTTGCCGTCATTTTAGAGTCATGCCAGTCTGCTCTTATGTACAATGTGACCAAGCTCTATACTGTTGGTTATTTTATTTTTGCATTTTTATATTGAAATGTCTTTGATACTGTTTCAAATTCAAAGAAGGGTAAATCCATTACATAAAAGCAGGTTAAGAGTTAACACTTGTAGTATCAGCAGTAATAATAGCAACTGTGTAGTCTGACCACGCTCTTGTAGTATCAGCAGTGATAATAGCAACTGTGTAGTCTGACCACACTCTTGTAGTATCAGCAGTAATAATAGCAACTGTGTAGTCTGACCACACTCTTGTAGTATCAGCAGTAATAATAGCAACTGTGTAGTCTGACCACACTCTTGTAGTATCAGCAGTAATAATAGCAAAACTGTGTAGTCTGACCCACGCTCTTGTAGTATCAGCAGTAATAATAGCAACTGTGTAGTCTGACCAACACTCTTGTAGTATCAGCAGTAATAATAGCAACTGTGTAGTCTGACCACGCTCTTGTAGTATCAGCAGTAATAATAGCAACTGTGTAGTCTGACCACGCTCTTGTAGTATCAGCAGTAATAATAGCAACTGTGTAGTCTGACCACACTCTTGTAGTATCAGCAGTAATAATAGCAACTGTGTAGTCTGACCACGCTCTTGTAGTATCAGCAGTAATAATAGCAACTGTTTAGTCTGACCACACTCTTGTAGTATCAGCAGTAATGATAGCAAATGTGTAGTCTGACCACACTCTTTACTGTTTACTTATTTTATAGTTTTCTATTAAAATCCATTAAAGTAATCAACTAATTGACAGTGCTATCTTCTTAGCAGAACAAGCTTATCTCTTTAGTTCTATACAATAAGGTTAACATTTTTCAGTTTTCTGTTTTGTAATGTTACAATACTGGTTATTGTGATTATTGAAAAGTCAATACCAATGTCTTTAAATTTTGTAATTGTTTTAGTGTTGAATTATTATAAAAATGATCAATCAATCATATACCTATCTATGTAATTTCAGATAGAAACACAGAAATTAAACTTCAAAGAAACAGCAAAGGCCCGTACGGACACTGGAGCCAGTACTGGGGAGAGACGGAGCTCCCTGAGATCTGGTAGTGTAACCTCATCACAGGATGGCAGTCTTGTGGAATAAAACATGGTTCAACATCTTTGAGAAGTGAAGTTATGTAATAAAATTACCATCTAGCTGTGTCTGATTTTTAAAACAAAATGTTGTGTTTTTTTTTTGTTGTCTTCCTTTGAAATGTTGAGAAAACCTATTTTCTTCTTGTTATGAAAACTTTTTTACTTATTAACAAAACAAGACATTTGTCTTTTTAGTCTTCAGAAACTTTGTGGTTTAAACAATAGATGGTATGTTTTATGTGACATGTCTCGTATATATTGACAAATGATAATGTAATTATCAGGAGATTGAAGTTTTTAGCATTCAATTATGGAGCAATGGTTTGTCAGACAGGATATGGACAAAAGTGTTTCTAAAATAAGAAATGTCACTTTTTTTAAACATAAATATGTCAAATAAGACAAATTTTTAAAAGCTTGTTAAGTGATCTATTTATGAATAAAATTAGCAACATTATTGTGTGTGGAATATTTTCTGGCAACTTGGAGTAAATACTTTCTCGTAAGATAGTATTGATAAGGGTATATTTATTACACAGGTGTTGTAACAAGGTGTTCAAAATTATATTGATATTGTTAAACAAATAATGTGTCATATTTTTACATTACTCCATAGTCATTATTCAATACTGCTTAATTAGTATGGGATTTTTGTTGGCTTTCAATGCTTACCCCAATAAAATAATGTTAATTGACACATTGATGCTTTTTATATAAGAAAATATTCTATGTATGCCTTATTTCATAAAAACTATAATGATTATGTTAATTCTCATGTAACAGTTAAGTTTCTTTTGTATATTTTTGAATACTCTATATAAATATAGGTCAATTACATTGCCTTTGTAAATATTGGATTTCCAGAATGTAGACCAGAAATAAGGATTGTGTTTTATGTATGGAATAAATAATGACTTGGTTAATTATAGTTTATTTGCTCTATAATATCAATGATATTAAACAGTATACATCAAATACTAAACAAGCAATTTTAAAGAGGGAGGATAATTTACCATATTGAACAATACATACCCATGATACGGCAGCACAGCACTTAAGAAAGAGTGCCTGTTTGCTAGGATTAACTACTGTACAAACATATTTAAACAAATAGTTATACTAAATGTAAAATCTTCAATAGAGATCCCTCAATAAAAACCAAACAATTACCTAGCATATTTTATTAAAATGCTGTCAAATCATTTAAATGGCAATAGTTTTTAGGTTGTCATAACTGCAAGTCCTCATTAATGCCCTTAGTCTTGATGATTGATAATATCAACTTTGTGTAAGTACTGAAAGGGAAACTGTTTACATATTTTCAAATGGTATCAACAGCTGTGTCTATAATGTCTTTAAAACCATAAATTTGAAAACCTTTATCAGATTATTTTCTAGCTTTTAAATTTATACCAAGTATTTTAAGAACCATGTTTTATTCCAAAGACAATTTGATTTACATTTTTTTCTCACATGTATCATTGCATTACCATAGTATTTGAACATTTAATGATGAAATTATGTATGTATTACTGTCATTATATACTTTCATTTTACTGCACATTCAACATGGTGGATGATAGTTATGAATAGTTTTGTATGCTTGACAGCACAATGTAGTGAATAGTTTGCTTTTTGTCATTTGTAATATAATAAAATTTGGCTTTTATGAAGATTTCAATGTACAGCATATAATCCAGATTGTACGATATTTTTGACTTGAGATTTGTTAATATTATAATTATTTAAGTAGGTGAAAATACTCGTAAACATTTTGATTTGTGTCTATATTTTTTCTTTGAAAAACACATTTGAGTGGATAATTTCAACATTATACTTCAGTATGAATAAAAGATGAATGTATGTTTAGTTTGTGGCTTTTTAGAAATCAGGTGAGATCATAATTATCATAATCATCAATTAAAGTCATTTGATAAGGGAATGATGAAATAAGTTGTACATGTTTGTTTGTCAGAATTCCATGGAAGGATGTGATTTCCATTCAAATGCTTCATCTAACTGAATCTTTAATATTTTATTTTTTGCCAAAAGTGTGAGTGAGTCGGCAAAGGGTTGATTTTAATAATGTCTTACACATTTTAATTTGTCAAAAACTTCATTATATTGTATAAAGATTAATTTTAAGCAGAGCTTCTACATATACATTGTGTAATTGCTTTTATAGATATTTTGAAATCTTTTTTTACATACATAGTTACACATGTTTAACATACAGGGGTTGTCATGTTTGTCCGAGATTAAGAGTTGTGTGGGACTATTGGTGTCTATAATTTTATTTTATTTTTTTCTTATTTTGTTTGAATCTGTTTATGGGATTATTATACCCCCGCACAACAAAGTTGTAAGGGAGGTATACTGGAATCGGCTTGTCCGTCCGGCTGTCCGGCCGTCCGTCGGTTTTTTCTTGTCCGCCCTATAACTTAAGATTCCTTTGACCCTTAGTCTTCATATTTGGCATGGAGGTTAGTCATGATTAGTAGATGACCCCTATTGATTTTGAGGTCAAAGGTCAAGGTCACAGGGGCCTTGACTTCAAAAAGCTTGTCCGCCCAATAACGTAAGATTCCTTTGACCTACAGTCGTCATATTTGGCATGGAGGTTAGTCACGATAAGTAGATGACCCCTATTGATTTTGAGGTCACTAGGTCAAAGGTCAAGGTCACAGGGGCCTTGACTTCAAAAAGCTTGTCCGCCCAATAACTTAAGATTCCTTTGACCCACAGTCTTCATATTTGGCATGGAGGTAAGTCATGATTAGTAGATGACCCTATTGATTTTGAGGTCACCAGGTCAAAGGTCAAGGTCACAGGGGCATTGACTTCAAAAAGCTTGTCCGCCCAATAACTTAAGATTCCTTTGACCCACAGTCTTCATATTTGGCATGGAGGCTAGTCATGATTAGTAGATGACCCCTATTGACTTTGAGGTCACCAGGTCAAAGGTCAAGGTCACAGGGGCGTTGACTTCAAAAAGTTTGTCTGCCAAATAACTTTAGATTCCTTTGACCCACAGTCTTCATATTTGGCATGGAGGCTAGTCATGATTAGTAGATGACCCCTATTGACTTTGAGGTCACCAGGTCAAAGGTCAAGGTCACAGGGGCGTTGACTTCAAAAAGTTTGTCTGCCAAATAACTTTAGATTCCTTTGACCCACAGTCTTCATATTTGGCATGGAGGTTAGTCATGATTAGTAGATGACCCCTATTGATTTTGATGTCACCAGGTCAAAGGTCAAGGTCACAGGGACTTTGACTTCAAAAAGTTTGTCCGCCCAATAACTTTAGATTCCTTTGACCCACAGTCTTCATATTTGGCATGGATGTTGATCGTGATTAGTAGATGACCCCTTTTGATTTTGAGGTTACTGGATCAAAGGTCAAGGTCATAGGGACTTTGACTTCAAAAAGTTTGTCCACCCATTTACTTAAGACCCTTTGACCACAGTCTTCATATTTGGCATGGATATTGATCATGACTATAAGGTGACCCCTATTGATTTTGAGGTCACTGGGTCAAAAGTCAAGGTCACAGGGACCTTGACAAAAAAAAAGCTTTTCTTCTTAATTCCTAAAAAATGTCCTGTCCGCATTGTATTGATTTTGACATTTTCACATTTGAAGCATGTAGAATACATAACTTAGTAATGCACTGGCTTAGTAACCTCAGATTTGGCAGGGAGGTTGTCCTTGAGCTCTAAATGGCCACTGTTGATTCTGACAAAGTTGTATGCAGGGGTATTCACGCCATGATAGTGGCAGTTCTAGTTTCTTTTAAATCATTAGAGATGTGTTTGAGAACTATGTCAAAAAAAGATAAATATATTAAATGCCAATTGTTTAATAAGATATTTGGATGACGGATAGCTTACACTACATATATAATGTACACATATATAAACACCATTATTGTTTTATGATTTATTAGTTGTATTATTTTTAGTTGATGTATCATTGTTATTGTGTATATTACATACTACAGTTTACACTCTATGCTTGCCACTAAGACATGTATGTATTTATAGTATAACAGAAGATTTTTTTGCGAGTACTTTACAAATGTCTCATTTACATTGCATTAACTTTACAAAATTGTTTAACTTTAAGAAAGAGAGACAATTATGTATAATCAATTTCCAGATAATTTCTAATTTGTGAAAGATGAAAGCACATTAACATCACTTGAGAGATATAGTTAACAAAACACAGTAAGAATTTAGAAATACTTTACCTTCAACCTGTTTATATACAGGATACAATTTTTGTAATGAAAATTTCAAATCATGACCAGATTACATTTATGTATGAAACATTAATTTTACATCGTGTACATTATTGAACTCATTGATATGTTGAACATTACAGAATATGACTTGTGTTTTGTCTATATCACTGACTTTACAACCACTTTTTTATCATTTGATATTTGGAGATTGATTCATAAGCAGTTTCACTGAAACATTATTAGGCAATTGATTCATCAATTTACTGAGATATCAATATAAAATTTATAAATTAGTTTTCCAACTGATTTATCAATACAGAATTGATTAATCAAGTACTTTTACTAATTTATCAACAGAAAATTGATACTGATTCATTAGTTCTAGCAAATGATTAAATAGAAGGAAATTTTATTGTTACTGAATTCATTTATTGTTTCATCAATTTTTCTTTCATTAGATCTGCCAATCTTAAATGAAAACATCATTTTTAACATTTTTTTAGATTCGTGTGCAAGGCTGGTTAATATACCATTTTTTTTATTTTTATGTTTTTTTTGCAGGATAGGCATTGGTGATGTGGAAAATATTGTTTTTATATCTACATGTATTTTGTTTATGAACAGAATGTACATTAGAGCAATATTATTTATGTATCACATAAGAATTATTTGTTAAGCAGAATTATAGTAAAGTGTTATTTAAGGGTTGTTTGAAAAATACTGGGAACATACAGTATGCTGTAGATCTTGTTAAGGTTTGTATTCT